CCCTGATTGTTCCCGTCGGTGATGCTAGGACAACTTTTCAATGTGACCTTTTTGTCAAAGAAAGTTATGCGACTCGTGTTTTGACAAGTTACATCTCCCCTCTCATCAACCGGCTGGTACAATCTTTTTCGGGGTTGTATGTGGTGTCTGATCCATGCCATGTTAGTTTCATCATGTTCCCACCAGTCTTGTGTTCTGTGTTGTGCGGCTGCTGACTTCTTGGCTTCAAAGGCGAATGCGAAAGGGTGTGCCTGCGAAGGCAACCGGATGTTTTGAAATTCACGGTGCATACAGCCAAAGTAGCGGTCATACGGCTCAGGATCACCAATGTTCACTGCAGCCTTGACGCTTGCCCATGCCTTTTCCAGATTGGCGGTAGGGCCAGCCATCTTGAAGTCATCTACATACACAACCAAAAGACAGTTGAGCTCTTGATGATGAAAAATCGAATGCCAAATGTCAGGTAAAATTTGCTTCCAACCCTGTTTTACCACACGGCTATTGAGATGATTTTCCCAAATACCCCCACTATCAGGATGACCATAAAGGGCAAGTAACATAGGAACCATGGGTTGCCAGTACTTTTTCTCCCAATCTTTGGGCCATCTGTTGCGTGGAAGTGACAACCATGTGGGCACCCCTGTGAAGAGGGCTTGTATGTAGGCTTGGATTGCATCTGCCTGCTGTTTGGAGAATCCGGGCTGACTACCGAAAGCATCTAGCAGCTTTGCTGCTTCCATGGATGCTGGGGAAGAGCCTAACTCGTTGAAGAGTGCGTGATCGGAATTCTGATCCCTGACATTGTTCCCTTGGAAAACCGTCCTACCCTTGAATTTCCGGCGAGGGTCTGATTCGGGCAATTCAGAACCCTTCTCATAGCAAGCCTCAAAGATTCGACCTAGGTGCACAGTTTGGCCATTGCGACGAGCCTCAGCTACTATGTCGCGGCATTCACGAACACGCTTCTCATCCCAAACACCCTTATTACGGAGATTATCCCACTCCTTGTCAAGGGCGGCCTTGGCCTTGGGGTTGCTGGCAATCTCATCTTTTGATACAAGCCTAGCAACTGAAGCGAAAAGCTCGAGTGCGACCTTGAACTCAAGTTCCTTGATCTTCTCTCTGACGAGCTCTCTAACTCGAGGCCGGTGCTCAATTGTGGCAGGCGCGGCAGTTTTTGGCATTGCCGGCACGGAAAACTTTTGGGAAGTGGCTGGAATAATTTCCCAAACATTGCCTACAAGCTTTGCAGTTGCAGGAGGGCTTTGAGTTGCCTCAAGCCGGGCCGGTGAAGATTTCTTCTTTTTGCCCTTGCTGCCAGATGACGATGCTGGCTTTTCCTCCTGCTCTTTGGCTGCTTTCTTTGCTTCTTCCTCGATGATCAACTTCCTATCTTGGGGTCCTAACATCTTCCACAGTTCTGAGTCGATCCCCTCCGGACGCTTTGAACCTTTGTAGTTACGTACAATCCGGTGACCATCCCAATGATGTCCATCTGGAATAATTTCACCTTTGGGGGTCAATTTGAGATCTGGAAATACGGGCGCTTCGGGTGCATCAGGCTCGACATCGCTGTCGGCTGGTAGAGGCGTTCCTGGCTCGTATTCATACTCATCTTGTGGCGGATGCAAACTGGACTCAAGAGGCACGGCTTTGGGTGTCTTCGGAATGACCTGGTCCTCGAGGCGATCGGCTTTGGGTGCTTTCGAGTCAATCAGAGCTTTCAAAGGAAAGATGAAACCCTCGGATGGCAATTCCAACCTCTTTGTTCTTTGGATTGTCAGTGCACCCCAGTTGACATGATAATCTGCGGCTTCCAACTTGGCAACTAAGTATTCACCCTTCCAATCATGACCTGGTTGGATGTAATACCCAAGGAAAATTCCTTCATTTGCTGTTGGGGAGAGCTTACCTGATGTGTTATCCAACCTCTTGGGGTTATTCCAGAACAACACTTTGGCACCAAATGGAATGTGCATTGCAGGGAACTCTTCACCAAACCTGAGTTGCCATGGGGATTCACTGCCGTCAAGCTGGGGGCTTGCATTGATCGCGGTCGCATGATGCTGCATGGCCAAGGGCCACATCTTCAAAGGCAGTCCAGATTGCAACAAGTTGCTCCGGGCACCTTCCAACATCTGACGAACTTCGCGCTCAGCAAAAGACTTTGATGAATCTACATATTCAATGGAAGTCTGGTGTCTGTAACCCAAATCCTTGATGGCCCTGATCAATTCTGGGGAATTGTCAGTATACACAACTTGAACGTCATCCTTTGATCCAATGAAGTGATTCAAGCCATCAACACAACTTTGTGAGTCTTTGGATTGGCTAGGGTAGACATACCGATATTGAGTGTGCAGATCTTTCAACACCAACGCAACTTGCTCCCCCCGGAAACCCTCTTCTACATTTTTCTTGATGATGACATGATCCCCAATGACGTGGTCACCAAACACTTCAGTTTCGATTCTCTTCTGACCACCTTTCTTTCGTGCCTGAGGTGCCATCATCCTTGCTCGTTGGCAGGTTCTGCAAAAGGGGTTCTTGGGGAAATGCGTGTACTGATGTTGGGTACTTGCAGCTTCAGCCAACCGATCCTCAGTCTTGCGGCTTCGGATGTACTCCTGCTGAGCGTCATCCTCCACCAGCTCGTCCAATTGCTCTTCATCTTGGGCTTCGTCCCGTTTGGCTTTTGAGCTCGACCGTGAGGTCGGCATTGCAAACAACTTTTTGAGGTGCTTATCCTTCTGAAATTGATCTTTGGGATAAACCTTGCAACTATCATCCAAGATTGGGACATGACCTTCGATCTTGAGCTGGACGACCTTGTCATCTGGACGGACTAAGATCGGTTTGCCATTGGCAGGCCATACGAAACTGTAACCCTGATCTACACATCTCGTTCCTACGGAGAGCACAGCTGGGGTATGATCAAGTACATACGGATGCACAGGATCTGGCAATGCGGACAACTTGACGTCAGCAACCTCATTGGCCTCAGTCGAACCGTTGGCTGTGACTAAGGAAATCGGATGCTCGGCTGCACGGCAGTTCTTGGCGCTAACATCCCTCAACATACCCTTGGACACAAGATCGGATTCACTACCTGAGTCGACAAGCCAACTAACGCCGGCCTTTGGCGCGGCTGTGGCAATTGACGGGAAACGACCAATGTCTCTAAGAGCTTTGGGACCGCTAATGAACCTGCACTCTTTGCATGTGATGTCGCGTGTGTCCTCATTCCAACAACAAAACCCACAACTAGGTGCAACATCTGAATCATGAAGTTTCACAGTTTCCTGAAGCTGTCTTGCACGAACCTGAGCCTCATGTTGTTCAACCTTGGATGAAACTGGAACGTCTTCAGCTGTTTTGTACACCTTAGTGAACTCTCTTGGACGGTGCTTGACTGGGACTTGATGACCAACTGCTTTCACCTCGATCACATGTGGGGCCTTTCGGAATCTAAGACGCTTCATGCTGACACTTGACTCATCAGAGCACGAAGTTGCCTTCGGCTGTTTTCGCACGATGCATGCAAACTTCTGGATCAGGCATGGAGCGGCTGTGGAATCCTTGCTCTTCTTCTTAGGAGCGGGTGAATTAGCCCTTTTGGTGTCTTTGGTGGCGGCAGCAGCTTTGTCATCATGCTTATAAAAACATTTGTCACCACGTCTGCACTTTCCCTGGGCATGATAGATACATGGGGTTTTAGCCATTTCTTCCTTGGACATTTTCTTCCCCTTATCATCTTTGTTGCCCCTTGATGGTGAACGTGTTTTGGTTCTTCTGGGTGATTGAGTTCGAGATTTGTCATCCTTGACGTGCTTAAATGGACATTTCTTCCCCTTATCACAGGTACCCTTTTGGAACTTATAGCAAATCTTGTCACCTTGCCACCTCGTTCCTGCGATCTACCACGACTTGGGGAGCCCTTTCGGCCACCGCGACCATCGCCTTTGGCGGGTGCGGCCTTCGTGTCCTTGATCCCAGCCTTGTTCTTCTCCGCGATGCGGTTCCTGTTCTCCCTTAATCGTTCGCGGTCGATCAAGTTCTTCATGGATTGGTGAAGAAAACTATAAGACTTTTCATGGGATTTCTCATGAGCACGGTCAAACATCTCAATGTCATATTTCAGCAACTGACTTGGTCGGATCTGCCTCAACAAGATGTCCCTTAACACAGCATCATCAGGGGTGACAGCCATGCCAGCTAGGGTAGCATCCCATTTGTTGATGAATCTTCGGAGATCCTGGACAGTATCGCCTACTTTGACAACACCCAAAAGATCTTCTACTCTGTAAAGGCTACCTGCTTCTTCTGATGTCTTGAAGTAGTCCTCGAACATGAGCAGAACATACCTTCCCCTGACCTGGATGCCTTTTCGGGATTGCTGCTCTTTGAAATTCAGGATCCTAGTTGCGAGGTCCCCTCCGGCTGAGCGTGTGAGCGCTGCTGATAATTTTGTATCCAGCGTGAGGAACTTTCCAGGATCTTGGAGTTTCTTCTCCAACTGCTCTCTGGTGCACTCTTGATCATACACCTCATTGAGCCAGAGCCATGCCTCATCCGGGCGATCTGAACAGCTTTTCACTTCATCCCTGACATGATTTTTCCAAGTCCTGTACGACTCCGGAGCGGGCATGTTGTTCAGCTTGATGATTTCGGCCTCCTTAGTTTTTGGCTTATCCTTTTCTTCCCTTTGGGTTAAGGCTTTTACCAATTCAATAAGATCTGAGGGACCCATCACTTGCTGTTGCTTGGTTACGCTCTTAGGAGAGTCATTTGGGGGAGTTTTAATAGCTTCAGTGGGAGTGAAAAACCCTGACTGCGTTGGCAATTGGGGCTGGTCGTTGCCGACAGCCGGCTTTTGCTTGGGACTGCCACCTTTGAGCAGCTCATCCAACTTGGCCTTTGCTTCTTGTGCCTTTGGCAACATGCTTTAACTGCTCCTGAAGGTCATCGATTTGGTCCTGAAGGCTAAGGTTCTGAGCCGCTGCCTCGTTGATCTTGTCGGCCATCTCCTTCTTGTAGTTCTCGAACTTGGTCCTCAAACTGATGAGCCTGGCCTGATCGATTGCAGCCTGATCTTCATATTGCTTCTTTGTGGCAGCTATGGCATTCTTAGCATGTTCAACAGTCTGTGCATAGGAAGCTTCGAATTCACTAGTGATACGTTGCCTTTCCTCTGCAATTTTCTGATCATGCTTTGTGTTTGCCTCTACCTTGAAATCCTCTACTCTCTTGTCATGCGATGCCTGAGCCTGATTTAACCTGACCTCTAACTCGTCGCCTCGTTTCCTTTCCTCGTTGACGGCACTGATGGCCTTACCTTCAACCTCCTGCAACCTTTGCTCATACTCCTGCTCCTGCATTACGAGCCTACTTGACCATTCGTTTCGAATTGAGTCAACTACTCCATGCATTATCTGAAGGTGCCTCTGTTCAGCTTCCCTCATGACTTGCAGGGTGTTCCCACTGGTGATTTGGGAAAGGTTGTTTTGTATGAAGGTGAAGTACGCTACAACGGGTTGGAACATTGTTTCGTCATCCATCGGCTCGGGGTTGCCCCCGGCCACATTGGGCACAGCGACAGCCGATGGACCTGACCCTGGAACGGCGAGAGGAAGGTCGGTTGGGGTCCCCATAGCAAAGTAGTGAGACTACGGCTGATAACCTGTATTTTACAAGGTCAGCCACCAATGTTACTTACAATGGGGGTGAACCACAAATCCGCTAAGCACTCAGCTCTTTTGAACCAACGCTACAGAGTAGTACGATGATATGTACACTACATGGTTTTACTGCAGGAGTTTTTACACAAGTGAAGATAAATGAAGCTAATGAAGCCGTGAAACCCTGAAAATGTATGAAAATGTGCCAACACCACCTGGAGAATATTCTGTCCCATGTGGACCCTGCGGAGAGCTGAGGATCAAAGGGACTTACCCAAACCTGTTGGTGCTCGATGATGTCTGGACAAGGTCTGCAACCTGCAGGTGCCAAGGATTTTCAGCATATGAAAAATGCACTTCGAAGCGTGTTTCACTTTAATTATGCATCTTTATGCCTCCATTCCATATTGGGACTCGTACCTGCAGATGTGTGACACACATGGCGCAAGTTGAAAAAGATAGAACAACATGAAAAAGGTATAAAAAGGGATAAAAAGGGAATTCTTACAGTAGCTTTGGCAAATGTTGAGCCACCTCGGCATCGTTGAAGTCGCGGCTGCAAGCGACAGGACAGGCAAACTACTTGCCGAGTGTATGCTAGCTTAAAACTGCCACCAGAGTATGCGTCCTCGGCTTCCCAACAGTCTGGAATGAAAGCACGCAGCAACAACAAAACAGGCTCAAAGATCTCAAAGAGCAATTTAGACATTTCAGATGCAAAAATGATTACGTGGAGATGCAGAGATTTTTAGTTCCGTTTTTTTTTTGGAAGCAAAGCGGCTTCTAAATCAACGTGGTGTAGCAGCTCCAAGCTTTCAGTGACTGGCAGGGCATCTGAGCTGGCCTCATATTTTCGGAGCAGCTCCATGCCACCTGTGTCATACCTGAGGCAAACATGTAAGGAAAACATAGGAAAAATATGCATCATCACGAAACAGGATTGATATGCAGTACCTTAGTGCCCAAGTGGATACAGCAGCTGGGTGGCAAGGGGCACATTGAAAGTGATGGGCTGGCCACATACGGGCCCACTGGTCCACCCAAATTTGCATGCAAAGTCTTCGATTTCTTTGCTGCGGCTGCGATCTCACGAGTGATTGTTTCCCTATGGAAAGGAAGACACAAGCAAAACTCGAGCACACACCTGTTTACTATGCCAGTCACAGCTGCAAATGAGCACTGTTCGCCGAAGGAACAGCAGGATTTTCACCGGATCCTCAAGGATTTCATAAGCATCTCTGAGCTTTTGAAAGCGCGCAGAGTCCTAACTGGCATGCAGCATGAAAGACAAGACACTCCAAGCTAATCCAAATTTCCCAGCTGAAAAAACGACAAACTCAAATAATGACCAAGGCCGTTTTATTCTCACACCCATGTTCCATCATGCTCCTGTTCTGTACTGTGGAACCCGTTGACAAGAGGCTGATCCAGATTCTGCATTTTTTTGATGGAAGATTCCAAGGATTTGAAGAACGACAAGCAAAGCAAGCAAGCACACTGACTCAAATTTACAACCGAGAATCACGGGTCTTGTCAGGATGATGCTTCACAGACAAATCGCGATATCTCCTCCCAAAAGGATCGAAAGGACAATTGTGGTCTTCTTATATCAGCTATTCTATTCTGCCAGCAAGGGCAAGCATTGGCCTGCTGTAAATTCATGTATATAAATTCGATTGGACTGTGGTTTCCCAACCATGAAGGCCGGGCTCTTGCAAAAAGGAGTGCGGGTCGGACTGTTCATGTTCAGCATGTTGCAATATTATGCAATATGTTGAATGTTTGTCCTGGCAAACATAAACCTGAAGCTCTCATTGCAGCATGGGACTTGTCGTGTGGTTGGCATGTGCAGCACTTTGCGGTAAGATGTCTGTTCATGTTTTTGTTGTTCTTCTTTTCTGCCACTTGCTAGGGTTTGAGTTTGATGTTTTCATCATGAACAAGCGAAAATCAAAACCTGATTGATAGGCACATATAGGCACCAACGCTACAAAAAGAAACCAAAGCAAAAGAAGCCAAGGAGCCAAGCCAAGAAGCCAAAAGCAAAAACATGACAAAAATCACAGAAGCTTCCATACTGCTTACTCCGACAAATGTGAATGTTTGATAATGTTTGGATGTTCAAGTACTCGGTGACTTTAGTTACTTTTGGACCGTAGAGGTGAACAAAAATGCCCTGCCAATGAAGTAATAATCTGCTGGTGCCAAACTATTCCCTCTACCCGCCTTTTCAAACGCTGTCGGTCTATCCCCGCATCAGTGCCATCATCTTCCATCTCTAGGGCTTGCAGCAGCTCTGCTATTGTCCCCGGCAATGGTCTGGCCGCCTTGTTGTAGCCTGACCGTGTTGAAACCAAAATCTAAATAAGTAGAGGTAGAGAAGGGTTGAACAGCTAACACATGATACCTCGAACTGGCACTCCCCAACCCGCTAGACTCCTAGACCAACAGCAGCAGCAATAGCATGCAGGGGATATCAGGGGATAGAGGGGGCCCACGCCGCCCAACTTGGACAAGAACTATGGCTTAATCGATCCAATGAGAAGTTAGTTCCGAGAAAATCCATCATCGGTCTATCACTGTCCCTCGCCGTAGCTCGCCGTCCTTCGCAACGGAGAAGGTCATGCAGGCTTCTGAGGCCATCACCTCGTAACACATCTAAAAATCTAAAAATATCTAACACATTCTAAAATATACACAGTCAGTCACAGCAGCTAAAAACTGTTCATGCTGCTCATGCTGCTCCATCTGACCATCTTTCATCATCTTTCATCATCTTTTATCATCTTTCATCATATTTCATCTTGCAGTGAACTAGCTACTAGGCAAGCCAAAGCAGCAACCATGGATGTTTTCAAAAGATATGTACGTGCCGTATTATGCCAAATGCGTAGATGCACACATACACACACGCACACACACATATATATATATAGATACTATATTATATAGATAGTATATTATATTAAATTATATTATATTATATTATATTATATTATATTGTATTATATTATATTATCTCATATTATATTATGTTATATTGTATTATATTGTATTATATTATGTTATATTATATTATATCATATTATATATATTATATCATATTATATCATATTATATCATATTATATCATATTATATCATATTATACCATATTATGTTATATTATAGTATAGTATGTTATAGCATATTATATTTTATGATATTATATTAAACATAATTACTGTACATTCATTATTATACATTTGAATCTACTTTGATGGATCATGACAATGAACTGGCACCATGAACTTCTGCTTAGGTCCAAAGCCAAGGCTCTTCTATCTCCAACCAAGTCATGACCAAACATATGGGTCCAAATTGAGCCAAGACTTTTATCTTGTAGAAACCCAACAAAAACAAAACTAAGAAATTCAAGGACTCTACTTGGACTCTACTTGGACTCTACTTAGGACTCCAAGTCGGACAGCCTGAAGCGAGAGAAGCGAGACCGAGGCAAGGCACGCCATCCGCTGGGCCACTGCTTCGTTGCGTCCTGAGTCGTCTTGAACTCCCAAGGCTCAGGCCGAGGCCCAGAAGCCTGTGAACACATAGACCACCAGTAAATCCTTTTTAAGACACCTTAAAACGTGGTGTAATTTATATATATATATATATGTGCGTATTTATATTTATATACTTATATCTATATAATTCTATATATATATATATATACAGGATACCATATAAATCTACATAATATCTGATAAATATTGTCCGATACAATACGAAACCGTGTTTAATCTGGTTTCATCGGGTTTTGTCTGATATTCAGTGCGTTACTATAGCACATGGCTATAACACATAGGTTGTGATGTGCTGATGTGCCTGACAACTCGGACCTCGGAAGTATTCCTATAACAATTCAGTTGGAAACCACATGCCAGAGGATTTGCTCGCAAAGAGTTCCCATATCACATGAGTAGGCTTGGAATGGCTTGGAGCCTTGGGAACACCACAAAAGCCAGAGCTCCACTGCTCCACCTTCTGATTTACATTGATTTACCCCAAAATCTTGCGTCCATGTTACATCACTTGTCCATGCGCAAAGGCTGGCCGCATCCACTGCCACAAGAAACACAATGGCTGTGCCAATATTTCTGAGTGGGCACATGGCTATCAAGCCTTTGCAAAGAGACACGGAACGGCAAACATCTTATGCGGAGATTGTTGTGGGAAGCTTGATTGACACAGCCTCCGGGTGTATGCACGTGTCAGGTCAAGGAAACTCATCCAGACCGGAAGCTATGGTAATGGGGAGTCAGTGACATACCAAGAGAAAATCTGCAAAGCTGCAGTGGTGCAAGCAAACCACCTTGGGGCTGAACATGTCCCACTTCCTGTCAGAGCTACATGTGAACGAATGTGGTTCATGAGGTGCATCCAAGCATATTCCAACCGTTGGATTCCAACCCATTGGCTTGCTTGCAGCGGGTTTTTTATGCAACAATTTGAGACGCCAATTGTCTGCATCTGCCTATGGCTAGCCGTCCATTTCAGGTTCGCTCTGGCTCCCAGTGCGTGCCTGTCAAAATGCGCTCACGGCCAAGGCGGATTGTCATTACGAGTACCATGAACTTGTAGCATCTTGTAGCGCTTGTGGCCAGCATTCATTGTATTCCAACTTTTTTCCTCACCTGCCAGGTGAGGGCCTCTAGACTCTAGATTTATGAGAACTGCTTTCTCCTTCCCCTCCTTCCTCCTTCTCCTCCGGCACTGCCGGACCTCAACCGCGAGCGCCCGATCTAAGCGGGCGCTGCTGAATAGAATGTCTGGATACTCGAAGAAATCATGTCAGAATAGTGCTTCAGGGTGGGGATCACTCGAAGAAAGTATTTTTTTGGGTTCCTTCGGATTAAGAACTTCCGAGACCTTCCCCAAGACTGCGAAAGGCAATACCTTTATCCAGAATGCACCCCCGACTTGCTTTTGCGGTCTGATTCCATGATTGCTAGACATCCAGAGCTTCCCACATTTTCACACAACGGTCTTAGTTTGGAGGACTTCGATGCAAGATGGGAAGGGAGAATTACTCACCTTCACTGTGCATGATAACTTCTCACAGTTCTGCCCGATAGACAGGCCGGACCAAATAAAACTTTCATGACTGGAGCAGACTGCTTGGTCGTCGCAATTTGGATGGTTCTGGTGTACTTGAGGGTGCGCTACTGAAAATGCATTGCACATCTCCCTGGTTGATTTTGGCAAATGAGAAGTTCAAACAAACATAGTGAAACTAAAACAAAGCAAGCAACACTAGGTCTTGGAATTCACCGCCGTATATAGATCAAGCAAGCAAAGATAGGTGCACCGGAGTGAATAACATTCAATATGTTCAATAAAACAAGGTCTATTCATCAGGTTACATCAGCATCTGAGCATGACCAAGCAGCCCATCCCGCACGAGCGAACTCCAAAGTCCTTTGGACCTGCCCGCTCGCACAGATGTCTACTGTCAAATCTGTCAAGACTGGAATGCATCTCGAAATGCCTGCATCATCTGCATCCGTCTTGGGATATGGGGATGGGTCAAGACCCTATCCCCCTGGTGAACATCAAAATAGCTGGTAAATGGATGTTCATCCCCCTAAAAATGGTATGTATAGGTATTGATCCATAGCCATATGGGTCTCTGATGGTCTCTGAACTTCCTACTGTGAGCACTGTCGAATATTGTCAAACAAATTGTACTAGTAACCAGGAGGTTCAAGGATTTGGGGATGCCATTATTGTCCAGAAGCAGCGAGATGCTAGGCCGAAAGGAAAACATGCAATCCCAATCATTCCCAAAGAACTGCGCTTGCTACAAAATGCTACAAAAGCTTGTGCTAAAAGCTTTTGCTGCTGAAAGCTCCAACTGGTCCAACTGGTCCAAATGGCTCGTGGCTTTGCCACGGCCCTGGCGCAAAACTCCAAAAAAAGTGACATAAAGTGACTCCGTATGACTCGGTGAGTTCACCACTCTGATGGCTTCCAGACTACGACTAAGAAATCTATAGAAATCTAAGAATGCAAATCATGCGAATAGAGTCTGAGTGCGTGAGATGCGTGAGTACCTCACTTTTTCTTTCGACCTGTCAAGGACCTGAGCATCTCAAGCGACAGCAATACCTCTGCAAACAGTGATGCAAACGTACGCAAACGAACGGTGGAGAATGATGGAGATTGAATATGGAAACGAGACATTGCCAGTGCCAAAGCTAGTCACACGTGCTCGTTGTTGGTGCTCCTCCAAAACAATATGATACACCAAACAGTGGCCGGCAAGCTACCTGTAACATCTTCTAACATCGCATGCATGTTTTTATTTCAAGACTTGAAGGGAAACATGGATAATTAAACATTTAGCTTTCTCATCTGATATCTGCCCAAGAGACGCGATCTTCTTCTGCATTTCGCGCTTTATCATCTGGCGGTCCAACCGTGATCCACGTCCCCATCCATCGATTTTGTTTGGTGTCATTGATGAATCATGATGAATCGAGTTTTCAAGACTCGAGCTCTCGGTGAACAAACAACTTGGAGCTACAAAGGGCCGGTGACAAAATGGCTTCTGCTTTCCGGATCCTTGATTTCTCATGTTCTCTCTGCTTCCCTATTCCTGACTAATCAGATGTATGTGAGCAAAATTCAGTGGATGTATGTGAGCATGGTTCTCCAACCGCCTCTGGATGATTGAAATGACTGAAATCATGAAGGTGACATTCAAGGTGACATTCAAGGTGTCCTTCAAGTTTGCTTTGCGATGGGCTCAGCCGCACTCAGCCTGTTGGACGAACTTCTTCAACTCTGGCCGCTGCCGGAGCAGGGCGGCAAACTCCTCACAAGCGACACTCCAAGGGTCAGGTCAGGTCATCCTTTCTGATCCTTTCTGCATTTTCATCCTCTTGTGACAACTTGTGATTGTGTTACTTCCTTGATCTTGCCAAATGGACCAAGCGAACTCCCACCTTCCCAAAACAAATCCTCTGCCCATGTCCGTCCCATGTCCTTGCCGGGTATGAGCTTGTTAAAGTCCTTGCCACAAATTCACAGCTGTGCAAATGCAAAAGACTTTCCTGAATGGGCGCTTTGCCTTGCGGATCAAAAAGCGCGACCAGCAGTATGCAGTGTTGGGTTGTGCACTGTCGTGTTACATCATGGCATGTCTTCGGGCCACTTGGCCGCCACATCAACCTAATGCTCCTAACAACGGTCACCTGACATTCCTTGAAAGTCAAATCGAGCATGTGGAAAAAAAAACAGGGCAAGAAATCCAACAAACATGTTGAACAAATTTGAGCAATGCATCCAATTGAATTCAGAGCCTTGCGCTGCCGCTTTACAGTTTTAATATTCTGTCGCCGATACAGACTATGCCAACACCAAAAAATACTACTCCTGAATTTCTTGGCAGGCTAGTCATTTGTCAGATATCATCTGGGAAACTCTCCTTGTCCATCTGTTTCTGCTCCGCCGCACTCTGCCATTCCTACGCTTTCTCGTGGGCACACCAGGAAAGTGACTTCAATCAGAATATATCAGAATATAATATGCTATACGGTTTGCTACGGTATGCTACCATCACGTATTATGCTAAATAACGCGGCTGGCAGAATGGGGCCGCTTGAACCCAGGAACTTATCTGCTGTGTCGAAATCCCTCTAGACATGTCCAGACTTCTCGTCTCTATGATGGATCGTGATGGCACATGTCGAGATCCTTTCAACGCTTCAAGGTCTATACTTTGCACCTACTGCGCTGCAAAATCGGCAGATTTCCACACGGCAGCTCTCAAAGTATCCTCCATGTCCAGCGTGATTTGCCACATGTCCTGTTGGGGCGAGGTGTCAATACCAACCAGTCCTGTCACACTACAACTACAGTGACTATATATACAGCATGACTCACAAACTCACCTCCGCGTGAGGTCGCTCTGCATTTGTGCCAAGATGCATCGACTGGCTCGGTGAGGATATAATTCTTCACGCCCTGTCTAGACACTAGACACACTTTTTGCGAAAAGGAATGAACAGCTACACTCACGGAAGATCTTCATACATCTTCATACTAAGTACAGTATTTTGCAGTTGCAACGCATGTAAAAAAAACGAAACAAACATCTTTCTCTGGGCCTTTTTGACCTTTTTGCTGCACTAGCTGGCTCTATCCCGGCCTCTTTGTCGCCAGAAGCAACCATCCTGCCGCAGGCTGCCACAAACTGCCACTCTTCCATGCTTCTGCTAAGCATTACAGGATACATTGATAACCATTGTTACATATATCATATACTTGAGAGGGGGAACACGAAAGGTAGGTGATCAAGAAGGGGAAACAAAACCTCTCTGTGTAAAAACTGGTTGCGTGGCGTGTAAAAGTGTGCTGTGTGCACAAGTTTCTGTGTGCAATTCGTCTTCCGTGTAAAGGTATCTGTGTATAAAAACGTCTGTATGTATATAAAACATTGTAAAACGCTGTTGTGCGTAAAACCTTCTGTGCGTAAGACTTCTGTGCGGAGAACTTTCTGTGTAAAAAACCATCTGTCTGTAATAATTCTTGTGCATTTAAAGAATCTGTCCGTAAAGGCTTCTGTGCGGAAGAGTTGCTGCTGTGTAAAAACTGTTCTGGGATGTTCTGGGTAAAGTTTCTGCGTGCAAAACAAATGGCGTGCATTTTTTTGTGCAGCCTGTGTGTACGATTTTCTCAGTGTCTATTTTTTTCGGTGCCAAACAAATTGTGTGTAAAAAATGTTCTGTGCAAAGGCTTCTCTGTGGCAAAGGTTCTGTGTGTAAAAATGCCTACGTGCCTTTCTTTATGTGCGCAAAAGCCTCTTTGTATAAAAGCATCGATATGTTAAAACATCCTTCTTTGTGTAAAAACCTCTGTGTGTAAAGGTGTCTGTGTACAAAAGTTTCTCTGTGCACAAACCTCTCTGTGTAAGAATACCTGCGCGTAAAAGCTGCTCTGTGTAGTGTAGAGGCTTCTGTGCGTAACGTCGTCTGGCTGTAGATACCTGGAACACCGTAAAGGCCTTGTACCACTTCTAATCAAGAAACGAATGCAAAACCCTCCGCACAATTCTGCAACAGCTTCAGACACCGTGTTCCCTCGCAACAAGCATCAAAATAACAATCATTATGATCTGTTCATCTTCTTCATATCGAGTTCTCTGTCTGTAAAATGATTTTAATTTATTTAAGATTATTTAAGGATTCATTTATACTAATCTCATAGATAATAGTTCACGTTTATTTCACATATGACATATTCTAGTTATTTATTTGATAGAGCTGATAGTCATACACATAGTCATACACATAGTCATACACATAGTCATACACATATGATCACATATGTATAATGTTGAAATGTATTGCATATTTTTTTCGGGTTCCGCACCTCGCCAAGTGTTGGCCCCTCTCCCGGATGGATTTGCTTGTGTCTGTAGCTGGAGCAGCGGATGCCAGAGCTGGCGGATGCTCTGCTTGACCAAGGGTCGCCTGACCTCACCGCGGCAGAAAACGGACTTTTTTTTGCAACATTTGG